CCACCTTGGGCCGCCCTCAGGCCCCTCTTAGGCGCTCTGAGGTCCGTCTTGGAGCCCTCGCGGGCCCCCTTGAGACTCTTTTGGGCCATCTTGGGGCCATCTCGAGGTCAACGGCTTATCGGAGGCGAAAAGGGGACAAGGCAGAACAACTTGATTATTTAGGTTTTTGTTGATCTTTCCGAACTCTTGGGGGCGGGAACCGTCTCGGGGCCGCCTTGCAGCCTTTTGGAGGCATGTCGGAGGCTATCTTGAGCCGTCTTGAAGAATCGTGGGCCATTGTGGAGGTCATCTTGGGCTCTCTGTTGCCCTCTTGGATCAATCTTGGGCCAGCAAGGACGCTCTCACACCTTGCGCGCCACCGCCCAGACCCTGGAAGGGGTGGGGGAACCTCTTCGACTCAAGGGAGGAAGGGGGGCAAAAGAGAAAACGCTCTAGACCACCTGCGCCCAGAGGGTTGGTGGGATTTGTTCACATGTATACTGCATTGGCCCAATGAATGAAGGATGCAGCAACAAAAACAAGATGGCGAACCTCCACTTGGGGCAGGTCGGGGTCTTACGTTTTCTTGGTTCTGGACTACCCTACAGCAGAGCATGTAGGCAGCGGTTAAAAAGAGCGCGGCGAAGTGGCAGGAGGAATAATGTGGAGGATGATGGCGACGACGATGATGGCGATGGTGATGGTGATGGTGATGATGATGATGATGATGATGATGATGATGATGATGATGATGATGATGATGATAACGACGATGATGATGATGATGATCACGACGACGACGAGGAGGAGGAGGAGGGCGAGTAAGAGGAGGATGAGGATGATGATGATGAGGAGGGGAGGAGGAGGAGGAGGAAGGGGTGGGTAAGCAACGGGGCGAGGCTGGAACGGGGTCGGGCGCATTCGTGTCACAGTCAAACAGACATAATTATATGGTTTCGTTGCTCTTCAGACAAGCCTCGTCGCCACGGCTGGACGGTCTTCGCAAGTGTCTTGTGATGTGCGGCGGTGCTGTGTCCCGGCCCACTGATCAAGGCGCGCTTGGTCGACGTAATGTTGTTTTGTAGCATTGCGTCGACCAGCATTTTCCCTTGCCCATTTAAAAAGGGAAACTTTCACGCATGTTCGAGATTGTTTTTGCGAAGGCTGGGGGGCGAGGGGTCGGGAAGAGAGGGGTTCGACGGGGGGCGTCGCCAACTCCGAAGATTTTTTGGTATTCTGAACCAGGAAATGCTCGCATTTGTTGTTTCCAAGTTTTCTCGGTTTGGGGGGCGTTTTGCGGAGGCTTGCTGGCCAAAAGATCGCGAGGGCGGAGGAAAGGCCGGGGGCCTCGCTATAATCGCGCATTTTCTTCGTGTTCATGAAGCAGGAAACGCTCGCAATTTGCCGATCTGGTTTGGTGGGGGTTGGGGGCGTGGCGCGCAGGGCTTGCGGGGCAAAGGATCGGGGGGGTGAACGAGTGACGCGGGGCACCGCTGAGACCAAAGTTTTTCTTTTTGTTTTCAAGCAGGAATCGCTCGCAATTTTTCAAACGTGGTTTCCTGGGGACCAGGTTGTGTTTTGACAAAGGAGGCGCTGCACATTTCAAAAATGGTCTCCTCGGTGGCCGCGGGGGGGGGCGAGGGGGGGGTCTGGGGGGAGGGGGGAGCGACGGGGCTCCGCCTTTACATGCCAAGTCAAGTCTCTTTCGTTCTGAAGCAGGAAACGCTCGCGAATTTTCGAACATGGCCCCTTCTGCTATTTGTTCGCCCGTGTTTCCGGGTTTGCCCCAAGGCTCACCCCACCCCGCCCCGCCCCCCCCCCCCTTCGGTCGCGCCCGCTATCGCCAGGGCATGATGAGAAACGGTCTGCATGGAGAAAAAGAGATGCGCGGCGGCGGGCGCGGCTGGTCAGCCAGAGTGGCAGCGCCACCTCTTCTGTGGTGCTTTGACCAATGCATGCGCCCAGGCCACGCTCGGACTAAGCACGGTCCCCACTGCAGATGCACTGCGACTGTGGGGCATCAATATGAGAACTGCCCATGGCATCCACGATGACAGCACAAGGGAACAAAACGGCGGGCGCGGCCGGTCAGCCGGAATGGCAGCACCCCTTGTTCAGTGGTGCTTTGATCAATTCACACGCCTGGGCCACGCTCGGATTAAACACGGTCCCCAGTGCAGATGCACCTGCGACTGTGGGGCATGGACATCAGGACTGCCCATGGCATCCGGGATGATAGCAGAGAGGGAAATGGGCGGCGGCGGGCGCGGCTGGTCAGCCGGAGTGGCAGCGCCACCTCTTCTGTGGCGGTTTGACCAATGCACGCGCCCAGGCTACGATCAGACTAAACGCGGCCCCCACTGCAAATGTACGGCGACCGTGGAGCATTAGTACGAGAAGTGCCCATGGCATCCACGACGGCAGCAGAAGGGGGAAAATCGGAGGCGACGGGAGCGGCCGGTCAGCCTGAATGGCAGCGCCCCTTCTTCTGCGGTGTTTCGACCAGCGCGCGCTCTCGAACCTCACTCGGACACAGTACGGTTCCCATAATACCGCTGATCGATGTGCTTACGTGAAATATTTTTATCCGTAAGGGCTTCGCCCCCTGCCGCCGGACCCCTCTCTCGGAGAATGGGCCATGGAAGAGCTAAGTCATGAGGCTTTGGCGCTGTCGTGCAGCAGTATCGGAACTTCATGCGAGGCCGATTCGCAATCGGCAAAACCAACTGATCACAAGAGGGGTTACCACACAGGGCGAGTGGTAAGACGTGTATGGTTTACGAGCTTGGTTACCACACCTTCGGATTAAAGGGCCGAGGGGGTACTCACAGTTTGGGTTACCACGCCTTGCGATGGATGCGCGTGAGGGGTGGCGCCGAACTTCAGAAATGTGGCAAATCCCCTGTGTTTTTGGACCCTGACCCCGCGGATCTGCTTGAGGGGTGGCACCGAATTTCAGAAATGTGGCAAATCCCCGGTGAAGTTGGACCCTGACCCCGCGGATCTGCGTGAGGGGTGGCACCGAATTTCAGAAATGTGGCAAATCCCATGTGTTTTTTGACCCTGGCCCCGCGGATCTGCTTGAGGGGTGGCACCGAATGTCAGAAATGTGGCAAATCCCCTGTGTTTTTTTGCACCCTGGCCCCGCGGATCTGCGTGAGGGGTGGCACCGAATGTCAGAAATGTGGCAAATCCCTTGTGTTTTTGGACCCTGGCCCCGCGGATTTGCGCGAGGGGTGGCACCGAATTTCAGACATGTGGCAAATCCCCTGTGTTTTTGGACCCTGACCCCGCGGATCTGCGTGAGGGGTGGCGCCGACTTTCAGAAATGTAGCAAATCCATTGTGTTTTTGGACCCTGACCCCGCGGATTTGCGTGAGGGGTGTCGATTTCGAGCCCCCCCAGCAATTCAGACAACGCGCCCAGGTGAAGCTACAAAATTTGTTTGGGCCTCCCCCCCCCTCGCGCGGTCAATCAACGAGTTACAGTAACCAGCATGAAGTCAACTAGTTACAGTAACCAACAAGAAGCAGAACTGTAACACTGGAAACTACAACCTACAACTGGCACAGGAAACTGCGAACCCGTGCCTCGCAGCCTGGTGGCCCCACAAGGGGGCCGGCGGATATATAAAGAGATATACGTCTGTGAAAATATTTGCACATATACATACATACTAGAACCACGCGCGCGCAACGCGCGCGCTTAGTTTCTAGCCGATTCCGTTTGGGGTGCTCTTGCCTCTTGCGGCGTCTTTTGGGGCCTCTTTGGGGCATCGTGGGGCCTCTGGGGGGGCTCTGGGCTCTGTTGGGTGCCTTTGGGGGCCTCCTGGTGGCCTCTTGGGGCGGAAGGCTCGACTTGTCGGTTCGGGTTCCCCCTCTCGGGGCCGTCTTGGGGCCCTTTTGGGCGATCTCGGGCGCCTCTTGGGCCGTCTTGGGGCGCTCTTGGGCCGTTTTGGGTTGGGGCTCACTTGCGCCGTCGCGGCGGCCTCTTTGGGTGCCTATTGGGCCGTCTTGACCTGATTTCTGGGGCCTGGCGGATTGTCTTGGACCGACGAAAGCAGGAAACAGCGAGGCCGCGAAAAACATGCAAAATCCCAGAGCAGTCCCGGTCTCGCTCGGGCTTCGGTCCGCAGGAAAACCTCTTTTGACCCCTTTGGGAGAGCTTTTGGAGGCCGCCCTATCCGTTTTAAGTTTTTTGGTGCCTTGTTTGGGCCTTTTGGGGGTCTCTTGGGGACTTATTGGGGCCTCTTGGGGACTTTTGGGGCCTCCTGGGAGGTTCTTTGGGCGGCTGCAACTTTCGAGTCGGAGTTCCCCTCTTGGGCCCCTCCTGGAGCCGTCTTAGTCGGCCCTTGGGAAATCTTGGTGCCCTCTTGGGCTACTCTTGGGAGCGTCTTCGGTTCGCGTGGGGAAGTCTCGAGCGCATCTGGGACCGCCTTTAAAGCCGTGAAGGCCCCCAAACAGCACATGCTTAAAATGAACGTTTCGCCTGCAGGAATGTAACGAATTCGGTCTCTTGGGATCCTCTTGGGAGTGCTCTTGGAGGCCAATCGGGACCTTCTTGGACCATCTTGGGGCCATCTTGGGCAGCAGTCTTGGGCGACTCGGGGCCTTTTTGGGCCTTCTTGGGGTCCGCTTGTTGGGTTAACTTTGGCCGTCTTGGGCAGCCCTTGGGCCGTCTTGGCCCCCGCTTGGGTTGTCTTGAAGGCTTCTTGGGAGTGTCTTCGGCTCTCTTGGGCAAATATTGGGAGTTTCTTGGGCCGTGTTCAAAGCCGCGAAGGCCGAAACATCGCATATGATAAGTTCGCCATTGTCGGCGCGTGAATGCCTGCTGCTTCTGGGCCCCAAGACTGTCAAACGACGGCTGGGGATATATATATATATATATATATATATGTGGCTCAAGGCCCAAATCTTGAGCGGGCAGCTTACCGCAGTAGGCTTTCCTGCGTGTCAAGCGCAGGCGGACTTAGCAACGCGAGAAAGGGAGGATGCCGGGTGAGCAGAGCCGGCCGGGGCGCGATGGCCGCGATGGCAGCCCTCATGGCGTCGCTGAGCGGCGCAGTCGCAGCGCCGAGGGACGTCTTGCGAAGCCCGCGGGCGCCCGGGCTGGCCAGGATGCTCGTGGACCAGATCCCCTGCAGTCCAACGATGCCTGGGCCGAGGCGCGGGCAGCTCAAGGTCGTGCCGCCGGGGGGGGGGAGCGGGCTGAGCCTTCCGGGTCCGGCTTGGACAATGCTGACGCTGACGAAGATCAACCGTGGGCCGCTGCTCTGCGGGCGCTGGAGGGCCGTTACACCAAGGTGGTGCAGGACAACGTGGCCAGCGTGGGCAACAAGGTCGCGAGCGACTGCAAGGCGGCCACCACCGTGGCCATCCGGGAGCTCGGGGAGACCTTCGAGGCGAGGTGCACCAACATCGAGAAGAACGTCAACCAGCAGGGCTCCAAGATCAACAAGTGCGAGGCCCAGACTGTCTCGCTCCAGCGGGACGTTCAGGAGCTCCGCGAGCAGCTCGAGATCGCGAAGAAGGAGGTGCCGGAGCCAAAGGTCCCTCTCGAGGAGGCTCAGCGCTTCACCCGCCTGCCCGACCCGGCCATCCTTGTGGCGCGGACACGCGCGGCGGCCGCTGTGGCCATGGCGGAAGTGGAGAACGCGCTGCAGGAGTGGCTTGGGGCGGCCAACTTGCTGGCCGCGGAAGGGCAGGAGGCGAAGTACAAGATCGAGGGAGAGCAGGTTGGCAGCCGATTCGTGGTGCGGATGCAGGGGCTCCCGGGCACGGCGGCGCTGCGGGCCAGGCAGGCCGATTCGGCGCTCCGCACGCCCGAGGGCTCATGGAGGTCCTTCCGGGCAAAGGGGCTCGGCTCCGCCGGCATGGTGGAACTCTTCGTCGGGCTGGGCCGGAACCCCAAGCAGGTGCGCACGGAGATCATCTGCAAGCAGGCGAAGCGGATCCTCTCCGCCACCTACCCCGACTGGAGGTGGTTCGTCGACAAGGACTCGGGCACGGTCAGCACGGGCTGGAAGGGGGTGCTGCAAATCCAGGTGGACGATGCGCCGTCGCTGCCGCGCCTGGGCTGGTGCCACAAGCACACGGCGCTGTTCGGCGTGGACGAGTCGGCCGTCGCGGAGGAGCTCCTGGCCGGCGTGCCGAGGGCCGACGTGGCCGAGTATAGTTTTTAGCCCGCTCGCGCGGTGCTTGCACGTTGCGGGCGGCGGCTTCCGCTTTGCCGCGTGGAACTCCCAGGCGCTGCAGTGCAGGGACCGCCCGCACTCGATGACGAAGTGGGGGTACTTGAAGCGCCTGCTGGTCCCTGGCACGGTGGTGGCGGTGCAGGAGACGCATGGCAGCGCTGAGTTATTATCGCAGACGCTGGCTAGGATGGGTCCTGGTTGGCAGGTGCGGCACTCGCCTCATCGTGATGCGGGCGCTGGTGGGGTTGCAACGTTTTGGCCAGCCCTTGTTGGGTCATCGTGCTGCAGCGGCGGGGAGGGGCCTGCGCCAGTTTTGTCTGAGGGGGAAGTCATTGTTGCGGGGGGGATTTTGCGTGCGGAGCTCGCCATCCCGAACTCCGATTTCAAGCTGATTCATTATAACATCCACAACCGCGGTATTTCCGCTGCGATGGTGAGCGCGTTCCAGCAGCGGCTTGCCGTCGACGAGCGGGAGGTCCAGGCGCGCCCGCAGAGTGTCTTCCTGGTTGTTGCGGGGGACTTCAACATTCCTGAAGGCTCCGCACGGCCGCTCTGCCCTGGCGTGGGTGCAGCGGCCGAGGGTGGCAACCTAAACGGTCGCGCCCGGCGGCCGCCGGGCCAATCGTCCCAGCAGCCGAGCGTCGAGCCAGGCCCCTCGGGCGGCCGGCCGGCCCATCGGCCGCTCGAGGCTCAATGGCGGCGTGCGCTGGCGGGCTTGATCAGGATCGAGCACGAGGAGCCGACCCGGGTGGGCCGCGCTAGGGGCAGAGTCTCCACCCTCGACCACATCTACGCGGGGTGCCCTGGCTGGCTCTTCAATCAGTTGGAGGGCTCGGTCAGCCTGGCTGGCGCGCCGGAGGTTGTGGAGGCGAGTGGCATCAGTGACCATGCTGCCATTGCGGTGCGTTTGCGGCCGCGCTCGGCGACGCCCGTGGCCGAGCGCCCCATCGAGCCCAACCTACTTCGCCTGCCCTTCTTCGTGGAGGAGATGACGCTCATGCTGGAGCAAGTGGACCCCAGCGGCATCGCGGCGCCCTCGAAACTGCTCCTGTTCAAACAATTGGGGCGCGAGGCTGCGCGTCGCACCCGGGATTGGCTTCTTCTCGAGGATCCTGAAGCTCACGGCGCACAGTATCAGCTGGTGCGCTCGTTGGCGCGCGCGGCATGGCGTCAGGATGCGCGGCCGGCGGCCCGGGGGGTGGCGACCTGCCCGGCGCTCGCTGGCTACCTGGATCTGGAGGCGCTGCCTGGCCGCGTCGTTATCCGCGACCCCGTGGCCTTCCAGTCTTGCTCGGATCGCCTCCGCGCGGAGCACCTGGAGCAGGAGAAACGGCTCATTGAGGAGCACAAGAACACCGTCAATGTGAGGGATGGGGCGAAGTGCGAGCGGAAGCTGGGGACCGTCGCGCGGAGAGCGGCGCTCTGGCTGCCGCGGGGCAGGAGGGCGCGGCTGCAGGCCCTCGTCGTCGGGGGCGACGTGGTGAGGGACGAGCTGAGCATCGCCCAGGGGCTGAGGGAGCATTGGGGCCGGGTGTTTGAGCGCAAGCCCGTCGACCAGAGGAGGACGCACGCTTATCTCGACCGGATGGGGATCCACCACGAGGACTTCGGCGCGCTGGAGCCCCCCACGGCGTGCGACTTCGAGCGGAAGCTTGCCGAGAGCCTAGGCCGGAGCGCGCCTGGGCCGGATGGCCTGCGCTATGAATTCTGGCGTCAGGCCCCGGGGGCTGCTGGCCTCTTGGCTGAGGCAGCGCAGTGGATGGCTGACGGCAACGGCATGAATGCGGAGTTCAACGATTGCCTGGCCCTCTTCATTCCGAAGGGGGACTTCGACTTGGACGGGGAGGAGGTGCAGCGGGGGGCGGGGGACATGCGCCCGTTGAGCCTCCGCAGCACCGATAACAAGGTGATTGCGTCTGTTCTGGCGGACAAGCTGGCACGGGTGGCTCGGAAGGCCGTGCCGTCTTCGCAGAGAGGCTTCGTCAAGGGGCGCATCTTCGGGCGCAGCGTGGTCGCGCTGGACGGTGCGGCGCGCGTGCACTCGGCGTTGGACGTGCCGCGCGCCCGGCTTCCGGCGCTCGCATTCTTTGACTTCCAGCGCGCCTTCCCGATCATCAGCCAGCTGTTCATGATGGAGGCGATGAGGAGGACGGGGATCCCGGACGGCGCAGTCAACATGCTGCAGGGGTTCTACGCCGGCGTGCACTGCTTGGGCACGGCGCACGGGCAGCTGGTCTTCCTTTTCGCGCTGGAGGCGGGCATCCTGCAGGGGTGCCCTTTATCGGGGGTGCTGTTCGCCCTGTGCACGGCATCCTTGTTCGCGGACTTGGAGATGCATGTGGACGCGAAGGGTCGCGGTACGACTGGTGGCTGCGCGGACGACGTGGGCCTTGCCCTCAAACAACTGATGTCGCTGCTCCCCGTGGAGCGGATCTTTGCCATCTATGAGAAGATCGCCTGTTTGCAGCTCAAGCCGTCCAAGTGCATCCTAGCGCCGGTCGGGGAGCCCTTCGGCCCGGACGTGGTGCAGCGCATTCTGGCCTGGTTGCGGGGGCATCTGCCGCAGTGGGAGTCCTTCAATGTGAAGCCTTGGGCCGACTATCTCGGTGCGCGCTTGGGCCCCAGCGTCACGGATCAGGTGTTGTGGAGCAAGCCGTGGCAAAAATGGCGCGGGCGCGGTCATGCGCTGGGGCGCACTGGCGCCTCGTCGCTGGAGACGGGCGCATTGTGCAACCAGCGCGCGGTGCCGACCATGGGCTATCTTGCGCAGTTCGCCGCCCTGCCCAAGGACGGCGCTCTCCGAGAGCGGGCGGTCCTCGCCTCCACCTTCAGGACGCCGCGCAACGTCTGGGGGTGGGGGGACTGGTTCTCCCTGGGTCGCTGGTGTGGCCCGCCCATCCGCTCGGTGGTGATGGCGGCGATGGCCACTCTCATGCGCGCGGCGCTGGTCTCCCATAGCAACTGGCAGGAGTGGATCCAGAAGATGGACGCCACGATGATGAAAGCCTCGCTGCTGGTCATCGGCAGGCGGCAGCGGTATCCAGGCCACTGGATGCGACAGTCCTTTGCGGAGGACCTCTGCGACGCAGCCGGTGGGTTCGCCAGCCGCGGAGGGATGGTCGCCGTCGCCGGCCGTTGTGCTCTGCAGGAGGCCCGGGCGAAGTTGGAGGACACTCGCGCATTGGAGGGCCGCGACGGGAGGCCGAGGAGCAAGGATATTCAGGCCACCACCCAGAGGGCGCTCGAGCGGACGCTCCTGCCCGACGAGTTGGCGGCCCTGCAATTCAGGCGCGCCGTGACTTGGTGGCCCGGGCTCACGATGTGGATCGTCGACGTCCAGTGGGAGCGGCTCCGGGCCCTGCTGATGAAGGTGCTTGCGTCATGGGCGTCGGCCGTCTTGCGCACCTGGTCGGGTGCCTGGACCGCGGCGGCACGCATCGAGCCCACGGCTGGCCGCTGCGTGGACGGGACTGCTCTTCGGGCGTGCCGCTTCGGGTGCCTGGAGGAGCTGGACGACCAGCGGCACTACTTCGCGTGCCCGGTCCTCGGGAGGATCATCGAGGGAGCGCTGGGCCTGGACCACCTGCCCATCGATCTGCTCGTTCGCTGGGGCTATACGAGCACGGCCGAGAAGGATCTCTTAGTGCCCGCCCTCGCGTACTCGATTTTTAACTGGGCGAAGCCGCTCGCGGAGGGTGGTGCGATTCTTTCCCTTGAACGTTTAAGCGAAGTTGCCAAGGCGGCACTTGAGATCCTTCTCCGTGCTCGTGCAGGCTGCAGGAGGTGTGGGCCGGCCACGCTCCTCTCTTATTGCGACCCGCTGACGGAGGCTCGGCGGTCGGGCCCTGGGGGCGGCCGGGGCCGGGGCAGTGCGCAGCGCACGAGCCATATATGTATATATATATATATATGTATGTATGTATGTATGTATGTATGTATGTATATGTATATGTATATGTATATTTACATATATACATATATAATTGTATAATTATATTTATACATGTATATAGGTATATATGTATACATATGTATACATATGTATATATGCATGTATGTATGTATGTATGTATATATGCATGAACAAAAACAAACTGGGGAAGGGTCGAGCGGGCCCAGCAAATCAAGCTGCGGAGGTCTGGGTGAGAAGCCCAGACAACTGAGCGACAACGAAGAGAAGGGTCGTACGCACGGGTATTCGGCGACCTTTCGCGATGACCTATGCGGGCAGCTCGCTCGGCATACCAACCGAAAAATGGCGCGCCTGCGTTCGACTTCACGCGGGCAGCTTGGGCATGAATGTCCACGCAATCGAACCTCATGTTTGGCATCGCTCATCTGTCGTGCAGTGACTTCCTTTCCGCTCCCGGATGACCCCCTTTTCCGCACCCCGATGACCCCCTTTCCGCAACCGGATGACCCTCTTGTCCACCTCTGAGGCGCTCTTCGTGGCCAATGCTGGCCTCGTTTCGAAATTCTTGTCCAAGCGCACCTCTGGGCATCGCACTATTTGTTTTTATCTTGGGCTGTCTGGGAAGCCTTTTGGGCGTCTCGGGAGCGTTTTTTTGGGGGGTCTTGCGAGTTACATGTGGCTTCCTGTTGGGCCTTCGGGAGCCCAGGGCTGGAAATGTTCGTTCGGCCCCCGCCTGGCTAGGCTCTTGGGGGCCTCTTTCCGGCCTCCTGGATGCTGCTTGAGGCCGCTTAGGGGGCCTTTTGGGGGCCTCTTGGACTCTCTTGGAACCCTCTTGGGAACTCCTCGGAGCATCCTGGACTGCTTCTTGGAGTCGTCATGTGACCTTGGCATGTCTTCGGGGGCCTCTTAGACAGAGGTTTGAAGCCTTTTGGATGCCGTCTTGGGGCCTCTTGGAGCCTCTTTTGGGCTTCTTGGGGGCCTCGTGGACCTCCTGGGGGCTTTTTGGGGCCTGTTGGGGTTTCCTGGGGGCCTCTTGGGGCGGAGAGCTTGATTTTTCAGTTCGCGTTCCCACCCTTGGGCCCCTATTGAGGCCTTTTTGGGACCCTCTTGCGCCGTCTTGGGCGGCTCTGGGGCCGTCTCGGGGCTCTCTTGGGCCGTCTTGGGGCCCTCTTGGGGGCCCCTTTGAGCCGTCCTGGAGCGGTTTTGGGAGCCTCTTGGGCTGTGCTTTAGCGCGGGAAACACGAAACAGCGATAATGCAAAAAAACAACTGAAAAACAATCGTCGTCGTCGTCGTCGTCGTCGTCGTCGTCGTCATCATCGTGGTCGTCGTCGTCGTCGTCGTCGTCGTCGTCGTCGTCGTCGTCGTCGTCGTCGTCGTCGTCGTCGTCGTAGTAGCCGTAGTAGTAGTAGTAGTAGTAGTAGTAGTAGTAGTAGT